TACTCATACACATGTAAAAAGTGATCGTACATGTCTATCGAAGTAATCGATACATATTTAGGGATAAAAACAATGGCTGAGCTGAGTACCACATGAGGGTATCTGTACTTAAGAACATGACGCAAGCGAGGCGTACGCCGAGTCAAGATAACCGCCGTTGTGGTCCGGAGTGTATGCCATTGTTTGCATGTGAAGTGGCTGAAGATGAAGTGGCTAACTTAGATGTTTTTTCCTCTAAATGATGTGGGTGCTTTGCCCCCCCCCCCTTCTGGAGACCGATAGGGTCCGCATGTACAGCAGGAGCGCTCACGAAGTGCTTGGTAACGTCATTTTTATAGTCCTTGAGTCTTATTTCGAAATTACAGCTACTTTCTGTGCGGTACTATAGCAGTCACCCAGCGATCACTTGTAATCCAACAGTTTCTTTCTAATGTTCCTTTTTTTTTTCTTGCTAGGATACTTTTCTTCAAATTCGAAGTGTAAATGAGATTCATAGATGATGCATGTTTCTTAGCAAACGTTATATTTCAAATAGCTCTTCACGGGTAACTAAAAGGCAGAACTTTCTTTATAGACACTGTGGTCACATTTCGGTGGAGCCAAAATACTAGAGTGTACAGTGCAATGTCAGGGCATGGCTAAGAACATCAAATCGTCAAAAATCTTTAGAGCCCAATATTGCGTCATCCCTCATAATCATATCGTGGTTGTGAGACGCTAAATCCCAGATAATGTTATATATATTTTTTTGTAAGTGCTCAAGTTGGAATGGCTTGGTGCTGATTCATAGCGTCGCCGATACGTAACATCATTCTCACAGCCACTTGTCACAGTTCTGTTCGGTTGTAGGCGGCCCAAGTATAGTCCATCTTTGCCTTGAGCCGCGATATCTTTTTTTTCGACGACGCGTGAGAATTATTGTCAAGGTGCGCTATAGAGCGAATGCCAGGCATACTCTCTGAGCATTTCTGTCGGGCACATTTTCATTGTTCTAAGTGAAAAATTGGCAGATACTATGTACAGTATGAATTGATGATATGCGAATTGTGAAGGAGAAATGTTGCTTTGTCACATTAAAATCAGCACAACGTTACGAGGTGCAGGTAAATGATGCCGTACATGACTTCCGTGTCATGATTATTATGTTTGGATGTGTCGTTTAACTTCGTCATCTATTCACGCCACGTGTACCAAATTTAGTATATGTGAAGCTAGCGAAACTGCCGCGAGCACGCTATGAGCGTGGTATGTTGTCATGTTCTTACATGACACGTGTGTCGGGATTATCATGTTCGCACCAGTCATATATTTCGTCATCCATTGACGTACCGTAACACCGAATTTGTTATATGTGGAGCTAGCAAAACGGCCTTGAGCACATCATGAAGGGCCCCTTATACTCCAATGTAGCGTTGACGCACGCACACGCTGGGCACAGCGGCGCTATGTTAGCAAAACGCGAGCACTTTACAGTCTGACGCCAAGCGCGACCAGCGTCCGTCGCGAAATTGAACGATCTGCATTTCGCGTCGATGCATTACCCATAGAGTTTCCCAATATACACTGGAGTGAACTCTGGCACTAGGGTCAATGGGAGCTGCAACACACGGTGCTTCAGCGAGCACGGGAACGTTGGGTAGTACACACATTTTTCTAATATTCGTGCTTGTGGCCTGCTTCTGGCTCTGTGTGTGTCCATGTGGCTTGAAGTTGTTTTTTCACGAAACAAATGTTAGTAAATGTTCAGTGGTTGCGCTTCAGCATCTTATTTTTTTATACTTACCTTTCGAAATCGGGTTATGAAGTTCAAAAAAGTTGAATCTTTCTCTCAAAACAAAACTGAAACACAGCAATAAACGAAGCCGTAAGTACGATTCGCCGTCCACAAGTACGAAGACTAGGCAAATGTGAGTACTACTCATCGTTCCCATGGTCGCTGAACAATCACAGCGGCAAAGTGCCCTCTGGTTAACTTTGCGAAACTCTTTAGCATTACCCAGACAACACTTCATCTCCCTCTTTTCGTGACGGAGGGATGCCGGACGCACTTAAATGCGCATGGGTCAAAGCAACGCAGCACGGCGCGCGTCTGCGAGTATTTGGCAGGACCGGTGTCTGGCGTGGCAACGCTGGCGTGACGCGACGAAATGAACGCCGGCGAGTACGTACACCGCATCACGTTGAAATGTATTGGTGGTTTCACTGTGGCATGTAGTCATGTTCTCACATGACACGCATCTTTTGATTATCATGTTTGCACTAGTGACATACCTTCAACATCAATTGGTGTCCCGTAATACCAAATTTGGCTTATGTGAAACTAGTGAAAAGGCCGCGAGCGCATCATCAGTGTAGCATGTAGTCATGTTGTTACATAACACGCATCTCATGTTTAACGTGTTTGCACCAGTCACATAACTTCGTCATCCATTCACGTACCGTGATACCATATTTGGTATACGTAACGCTAGCGAAACGGCCGCAAGCCCGCCCTGAGCGTAGCATGTAGTCATGTTGTTACATGACACGTATGTCATCATTTTAATGTTAGGATCTGTCGCTTGTGTTCGTCATGCAATCATGCCATACCATACCGGTTTCGCAACATGCCATGTGGATGAAACCACCGCAACAGCCGCAGGACCATAAAATGTAAATCATGGCATTGATGACGTACATGTCTTGATTGTCATGTTATAATTAGTCAAATATGTTCTTCATGCAGTCATGTTATGCCATACCAGGTTTGATATTGATACCAATATCGAAACAACCAGGAGAGCTAAAAGTCATAGGCACATAAAAAGATAGATAGATAGATAGATAGATAGATAGATAGATAGATAGATAGATAGATAGATAGATAGATAGATAGATAGATAGATAGATAGATAGATAGATAGATAGATAGATAGATAGATAGATAGATATGCGTAAAGTCGCCTAAGTTCGCTTTCAAATGCTTCGCATTTAAAATGCTTGCCCGTACTTCTTTTTCTCTGGCCTGCCTTTTCGTCTTTAGCTCACGCTCTGAAAACAAGTACCAGTTTTTAGCTCGCGTTTGCAACGCATCACCGCCTAAATGGAGCCGCACGTCTGCGGGAATGCGCTTACGCCATTTCGACTTGCACGAGGCACATTCACTTCCGAACACCTAGCTGACCCAAATCCTTAAGATCTTCGTCCATCACGACTATCCGTTTGATATCCGTTTTCTGTACTGGCACAGAAAGAAACAAATAAAGGAACATATTCTCTTTACAATTCGTAATAGCATTTTTTTTTATTAGTCCTGTCTTCTCGACGACTACGGTACACCTCGCTGACTTCGCGTTTTTGTTTCCATCGTAATAAGTTCTAGCTTCAGAAAACAATTTTTTTATTCACGAGATGCAGGATCGGTATGTATTTAGGAACCATTCACTCCCGTTCACCTCCTACTGAACTAGTGACGAGGAAGCCACCCGGGCGGAAATATTTCTGAGCTTGGCGGATGCATAGCTGTCCCCATATATTTAAATGCCCAGTCAACTACGCACACTGGCCTGACATTTTCACTCTCTTTCATATTTTCTGTTGCTTTTTTTTGTTTTCCTAAGCTTCCTGAGAAGTTGGGAACGTTAGGAGGCCGTGAAAAATATGTGCTCTCTTTTTGAGACGATACATTACACCGGGTAGTTCGTGCGGGACGATAAAGCGATTTCGTTTGAAATGGGGGACATCTTTCTCGTGCTAACTCAATAAATATCGAGCTTTACTGCGCACTACAGCCCCGCTTTTGAGAGGAGATGGTTGTTGGCTCAGCTTGGAAAGGGACGGCTGATATAGTGTCGCACCACTGCAGATTAGGACAACGATGCCAACAATAAAATGAAAATTAGGTATGTGACATTTTACTTCGCACAGCTGAAGCGCGGCATTTCATGCATTATTCAGCGCATTCCTCTCGGTGTGGCTTACATGAAATGTTACATCCACTTGATTGGCTGCAGTGACACAACTGCCAATTGTGGCCACTGTCAGTTGCCAGAAAGGCTGGAGCATATAATTTGCACTGCTCCAGCGCACTAAAGAACATCAAGAGACTGATATCTTCTACTTGACAATATAATATTTGATCATCAGCCAGTTACGTAGCATTAGGTCCTTGGCCTGACGCGAGCACACAAGTGTGGGTATAAAGTGTGGGTATGATTCTTGTTTTAGAAGGCACTCTACCTGATTCACGTTTTTAGAGCTACCCAGGCGTAACAAGACCTTATTCTCATCTCGCTGCGTTACTATTGTCACTTACAAATTTTTGGTTACCTGTCACCTATTCCCACTGTAGAGTAGCAGTTCAGAGCAAACCGTAGCTCAGGCCGACCTCTTTACCTATCAGTCAATAAGTTCTCTCGCTACTTCACCACTTGCACAACATTGAAAAGAGGAAAAAAAAGTGAAATGAAAGCAAAGATGCACAAGTGCATGTTGTCTGTATATGATATATAACGAGATAAAGGAAGGCACTGCCCATATCTATCTATCTATCTATCTATCTATCTCTCTATCTGTCTGTCTGTCTGTCTGTCTGTCAGTCTGTCTGTCTGTCTGTCTGTCTAAATATGGGTGTCCGCGACGGGGATACGTGTTTTCAGAGCGCAAGTTGAAGACTGGAACAAAAAAAAGTGCGGGTAAGCATTTTTAATTTGGAAGAATGAGAATTTGCTAGACAGGGATGCTTAGAGAGTGTGCCTGGCATTCGCTCTATAGTGCACCTTGACAATGGACAATTGTATGGTGAAACGATTCTTACGCGTCGTCGAAAAGACATATCGCGGCTGAAGGCATTGGCACTATACTTGGGCCGCCTACAACAGAAAAGTACTTGGATAAGTGGCTGTGAGAATGATGTCACGTATGGATGGCGCTATGGATCAGCACGAAGCCATCCCAATTTATGGAGACTGCTCCCCCATAATATATATATTAAAATGGAGGTGACGCGTGCGCATTTTATGATGACGACAGAGGGCGAACAACGAACGATTTGTGGAGTTTCCGAGGAGGACCCGTACGAAGGTGGCCACGGTAACGCGAGCTCCACCTGCCGGATTCCGCGGCGGCGTGACTGTCACAAAACGAGCGCTAAAACGGGCGCGCCGCCAAATTCTTGCGATAACGGGCAGGAGAAACGCCGCGAAGTCAAAAGAAAAAAAAGGAAAGAAAAAGAAAACAAATGGCCAAGGCTCCCCGGGCGCGCGCTCTCCCCGCAGAAGCGTGGCTTCATCGACGAACCTCCTCACCCCACAACGGCGGCCGAGCAAGCCCGCGATTTTTCTAGAACGAAGGAGGCGTGTCCACGCCGAGATGAGTCATCCGACGCGGAGGGCAGTCGAACCGTCTTGCACCTCTCCCCAGCTTTCGCTGCGTATCGCGCCGACGAAATGACAAGAACTTTCTAGAATGTGGCGCGGAAGGTATTTAATTAAGCGGCCGAGACGAGAGAGCAGGAGGAGACGGAAGTTAACGCCAGAGCACGTAGGGATTCCGCCGTGTAGTCGGCGAAGGTTTTGGTCCGTAGGGACGAAGCCGGAGATGAAGAGGATTTCCACCTGAGGGGTGACGACTCGAGCTACCGGCAAGAGTGTGTGTGTTTACCGCTATCGAGCGAAGACGCGGGGCAAGAGCTGCGTGTGTGAAGCCGACGTGTTCCGGCGAAGAAGTTGAAGTTGGAAGAGTGGCCAATTGAAGACGGGAGGTTTCCTGGAAGAGAAACTTCGAGAGCGGCGGAACGACAACAACGCTGGACTTTGAGTGAGTGATTCTCGGAAGAGTATCATCTAGACTTTGGTTCCAAGAACTTTGGACTGAATAGGTTTTCTATCCCTTTAGTCTTGAGTGTCTTGGTTGTTCAATGCATGCGACTGCATTGTAGTGCGTATTGTTGTCTGTGTCTGTTGTTCGAGTGGGGCTAATTGTACTGTGTAGTGTGTTGATTGGTTGGTGACGTATTGTATGTAACTATTGTGGAGTGTGCATTCTCGTGTATTGTTTGCGATCTGCCAATTTTGAGAATATAATTTGTTGTTTATCAACTCTCGGCTCTGACTTGTTCTTTGGGCCACAGCCGGCGTCCGCTGGCGCGCCAAAAAGGGCCACTTCTAAATTGTCCACGCTTTCGTGGTGCGGTTCGGGGGGCCGATACTTCGGCTCTTGGAATTAGCCCGGCGATCGCCTCCCTAATTAACGGGACTGGTGTGACAATTAATCTGGCGTCTGCGACAGGAGCTTTTGGTGCACAGTGTGTCCAAAGTAGTGAGAAAGAGCCTCGAGTTGTTGATAGTGCTATCGGAACGATTTTGTGTGTTGTTCAGTGTTCTCGTTAACGAGTGTAGGGGAGTGTTCCGATAGACTGATTTAGGCAGATACTTTTTGCACGCGGCAAGACTTTATTTTCGAGACACCTTGGATCTCGAAAAGTTAGTCGCTCTGGGTGAGAAGATGGGTCTTTCTGGCGCCGAACTACGGAAGTGGGTAAGCCAGAAGGAGAAAGAGGCAGCGGAGAGAGCCAGGGAAGAAAAAGCAGCTGAGTTGGAACGAGAGAGGTTGGCAGCTGAGAGGGCCAAGGAAGAAAAAGCAGCTGAGTTGGAGAGAGAAAGGCTGGCCGCTGAAAGGGCGAGAGAGGAAAGAGAAGCAAAGGAGCGACAGCTGAAAGAAGAAAGAGAGGTAAAGGAGCGACAGCTGAAAGAAGAAAGAGAGCTGCAATTGAAGCTGGAGCTGGAGAAAGAAAGACTGGCAGCTTAGAGGGCGAAAGAAGAAAGAGAGGAAAGGGAACGGCAGCGTCAGCACGAGATGGAACTCGAGCGGCTCCGTTTGCAACAGCGAAGTGAAACTCCCGTCCAAGCTAGAGTTGAAAGCAGCGAACGGGAAGATCATGGTTTCCGCTTGAACCCAAGCAAGCTACTTGTAGCGTTTGATGAAAGGAAGGACGACCTTGACGCGTACCTTCACCGATTTGAGACGATTGCGAAGAGCCAGAATTGGCCGGAACATCAATGGGCAACTGCTTTGAGTACTTGCTTGAGTGGTGAAGCACTCAGTGTGTACGGTAGGCTGACGCCGACCGATGCAGCCAACTACGCAAAGGTGAAAGCTGCTTTGTTGAAGCGATTTAGATTCACTGTGGAAGGATTCCGGGACAGATTTTGGACAGGAAGCCAGCTGATGGGGAGACGGCTACGCAGTATGCCGCCCGACTTTCTCATTATTTCGACAGATGGATTGAACTTTCAGGGACAGCGCAGGAGTACGATGAGCTTAGAGATCTGCTAATTATAGAACAATTTCTTACTAGCTGCCACCCAAGCCTGTCACTGTACTTAAAAGAGAGGAAGGCTGACTCACTTGAAGACATGCTTGAATTGGCTGATCAATTCTTGGAAGCGCAAGGTGGCACTAATTTGGCCATGGTAAAGAAGGAGTGTCCCGATGATTCGAAGAAATTGGCTCCCGAAGAAAACAAGCGTGCACCAGAGAGCATTCCGCGATGTTTTCTGTGCAACCGAGTGGGTCATCGCGCGAAAAACTGCCGAACGATCTTTACGAGCCCTACGGTTGTAAAATGTTTCAAGTGTGGTCAGACTGGGCACAAAGCAGATGCATGTCGAAACGGAGTGAGTCAAACTCACCAGGTATCCTGTGTGCAAGCAGCACCGAAATCCGATAATAATGCCGTCACCGACGGATTCGTAGAATTGAAAAATGGGGAGAAAATTCCTATTGTTGGTGCGGTAATGTCAAAACAGTCGACCGGTGTTACGAAGCGAATGCCAACACTGCCTGGAAAGGTTGCGGGCAAGAAGATTACGGTTCTAAGAGACACCGGTAGCTCCACGGTTATCGTGCGGAGAAATTTGGTACGGGAAAGTGAGTTGACAGGCAGAACGAAACCGGTTTGTCTAATTGACCTTACGGTTCGGATGCTTCCCGAAGCAGAAATTGAGGTTGAAACCCCGTACTTCAGCGGGAAGGTTACGGCTTTATGCATGACAACCCCCCTGTATGACCTTGTCATCGGAAACATCGACGGGGCGCGAGGGCCAAATGATCCAGAATGTTGGGGAGAAGACCCGAAGATAGAGCCCTCGCCAACACAGCGGCCGCGAGATACAGTGGAGGAACATCCCGTGACGGATCTCACTAGAGCCCAAGGTGAAGCTGCGGCGCAAGAGACAGCGAAGGAGAAGACGATCGTGTCGAATCAGTTCACGGGCCGAGCAACCGGACTTACGTCGGCACGACCGCAACCGACCGACAGTGTAAAGGAGACGGAGTTGGCCAGCCGGGCAAGATGCAGAGGCATCATCAAGCGGGTAAATAAACAGACAGGACCCGTCGAATGTAATGATGCATTAACGGTGTCGGAAGAGACAACGATGGCTGAGACGACGCCTCAGATATCGTCGTTGGAAAGGGCTCGCCGAAAAAGAACGTGGAAGCACAAGAAGAGATCGAGCGAGCACCGCAAAAAGGGGCGCAAGCGCTGCTCGAAATACGCAGGATAAGTGCTGAGGTCAAAGCAGAATGTGGTTGGCAGTGTTGAGTGCCATATGTTGTGTTAATGTTGTGGTATCCTGTGTCACAAGTGTCGAAGTGTTGTGCTGTGATGTGATGTATAGTATTGTACCATTGTTGTAGTGAGAGACTTTGTACATTTGTATTATTGGGAATGTGTGGTGGAGTGTTGTACTCATGTGCTTGTGGTTGTGTTTTCACGTGTTGTGTAATTGAATTACAATGTACAATTGTATTAAGTGATCTATTGTGAATGTGAAGTGTCATGAGCGACTGATGGTGTTACAGTCTGTGAGAGTGTGTGGTGACTGTTCGCGCTCGTTTGTGTGGTTTTGAATATTATGAGATAATATTCCTAAAGTGGGGGGCAGTGTCACAAAACGAGCGCTAAAACGGGCGCGCCGCCAAATTCTTGCGATAACGGGCAGGAAAAAGCCGCGAAGTCAAAAAAAAAGGAAAGAAAAAGAAAACAAACGGCCAAGGCTCCCCGGGCGCGCGCTCTCCCCGCAGAAGCGTGGCTTCATCGACGAACCTCCTCACCCCACAACGGCGGCCGAGCAAGCCCGCGATTTTTCTAGAACGAAGGAGGCGTGTCCACGCCGAGATGAGTCATCCGACGCGGAGGGCAGTTGAACCGTCTCGCACCTCTCCCCAGCTTTCGCTGCGTATCGCGCCGACGAAATGACAAGAACTTTCAAGAATGTGGCGCGGAAGGTATTTAATCAAGCGGCCGAGACGAGAGAGCAGGAGGAGACGGAAGTTAACGCCAGAGCGCGTAGGGATTCCGCCGTGTAGTCGGCGAAGGTTTTGGTCCGTAGGGACGAAGCCGGAGATGAAGAGGATTTCCACCTGAGGGGTGACGACTCGAGCTACCGGCAAGAGTGTGTGTGTTTACCGCTATCGAGCGAAGACGCGGGGCAAGAGCTGCGTGTGTGAAGCCGACGTGTTCCGGCGAAGAAGTTGAAGTTGGAAGAGTGGCCAATTGAAGACGGGAGGTTTCCTGGAAGAGAAACTTCGAGAGCTGCGGAACGACAACAACGCTGGACTTTGAGTGAGTGATTCTCGGAAGAGTATCATCTAGACTTTGGTTCCAAGAACTTTGGACTGAATAGGTTTTCTATCCCTTTAGTCTTGAGTGTCTTGGTTGTTCAATGCATGCGACTGCATTGTAGTGCGTATTGTTGTCTGTGTCCGTTGTTAGAGTGGGGCTAATTGTACTGTGTAGTGTGTTGATTGGTTGGTGACGTATTGTATGTAACTATTGTGGAGTGTGCATTCTCGTGTATTGTTTTCGATCTGCCAATTTTGAGAATATAATTTGTTGTTTATCAACTCTCGGCTCTGACTTGTTCTTTGGGCCACAGCTGGCGTCCGCTGGCACGCCAAAAAGGGCCACTTCTAAATTGTCCACGCTTTCGTGGTGCGGTTCGGGGGGCCGATACTTCGGCTCTTGGAATTAGCCCGGCGATCGCCTCCCTAATTAACGGGACTGGTGTGACAGTGACCCCATCGAAGACGTTCGATGCCCCACGGGAAGGACTGAGCAGAAGCATTTCTCGACTCCGCCTTACAGGGTGCCCGCTAACGAGGATGACATTATTCAAGAGATCTACGCCAATGGTCCTGTCCAAGCACTGATCCTGGTGAAGGAGGACTTCTTCTTGTACCGTTCGGGTGTCTACAAGATTATGCGCATCTCTGAGACCCTGCCTTCCGAGTTCCGCAGGAGCGGATGGCATTCGGTCAGCATTCTCGGATGGGGCGTCGACAGGTCTCAATACAGGCCGATCAAGAACTGGCTCTGCGCCAACTCATGGGGCCACGGCTGGGGCGAGAATGGCTACTTCCGCATCGTGCGGGGCGAAGACGAGAGCCAGATCGAGTCCTTTGTGCTGGCCGTGTGGGGATGAAGTTACGCCTCCTACTACCGCCAGCAGGCGGCGCAGCAACGAGAAAGAAAGTACGAGGGATACGCTGAAAGCGACCCTGGCTACCCCGGTTACCCAGAACCTCCACCACTTAAAATGGAGGTGTTGTACGTCGAGAAAGGTTCAGACGCAGCTTGGCAAAATGAGCTTTAACAGGCAGGTCTGGCTAATGGCGAACGGCGTGCGCGAGCTACTACTGCAGCCACCGATCATCGTCGTCCTCTTCATTGCCAGCAGAGCGTCCGTTATTCAGATTCATTACTTCATTACAATTTATATATATATATATATATATATATATAGAGAGAGAGAGAGAGAGAGAGTGAGAAAATACAAAATACACACAGCTTGGTGCCTAGTGGTTGTCTTAACATTATTTTCAACGGTTTCGACCAGTGGACTGGTCTTCTTCAGGGTTTGCGAACAAGTGCTGGTAATATTTTCGCAAACGCTGGTCGATGTGTGCGTTTTATGATACACGTAAGCTTTTCCCGTAAATAGCCCATGATTTATTTGCTTTTTAATGTACTCGATGTTAAGCTTAAATGTGTGTTCAGAAAAAGTGGTTGACGATTCAGAGCACTAGGTACCCTACTATGGGAGAGCATAAAACCGTCCCGGGGGGCTCGCCGGGTTCCCGAATCCGCCCACCTAAAAGATACAATAAAACAATTAGATTATTGTATTTTGGCATCGGTGCCATATAAGTAAGGCTTGTGGTGTTGTGGTCCAGGCTCCGAATTTTTGTAATGTAGCCTAGCTTCATTCTACTGTTCACTTTCTGATATATATTCTGCAAGATGGCTAGAGGAACTCATTGTTGAAACAAATCATTCACAAACGGACAATAATAAGAAAACAAGAGCGAGTCTCTATTAGGATGATGAGAAACGAAACATTGTTAATCTGGCACTAAGACCTTGAAAGGGTAGGCACTCCGCCTCATTAAATCTCACTCAGTGCTCTATTCGGCCTTTAATTCGATTATGGTGATGCGCGGTACAGCGTGCCTCAATCTGTCAAGGGTTCACCGAAGTCATCCGGTCCATTCGCGAAAGAGGGTAGGCTGGAAACTATTTTTCTCGCCTTCACACCCTTTAACGACTTTCCTTTTTTGGCAAAAAGAGCCATCTGACCTTTTTGAAGCCCCTGCCTTTTGTCTCTATAGATGGGTCCTTCTTATAACTGATGAGAAGTTCCTTGAATAAAGAGTATGGGCACCACAAACTAATTTTTTTGAATACCTAGTGTTACTTAGTACCCCTTATAATAAATACTGACAGAAAATTACTGAAACACCGTCGTATGTTGAAGGATGAAGTTCCATGCTGTTAAGCTTGTCGATGCGGGCTCCGTACCTGGAAATGGTTGCAGCATCTTACACAAATAATATAAGAAAATACGGTTATTAGAAAATCATGGTCTCTTTTGTTCTATCGGGTGTTCTGGGGAGATGTTGAGGCTTATATCGCTTCGACAGCCCCGTTTCAAAGTCTTGCAGCGAAAAAAAACTGTTACCCCTGAAACAAAAAAAACTGAACAGCAAGAAAAATATATTGAAAGCGGAAATGAATAAAGAAATCAACATGTAAATGATTTTTTTGTCGTACAGGATTTAACTTTGCAGCAGAATGCCCACACGCGTATATTTTCGTTCATATTGTGCCGACGGTGTACGGACTAACACATAGAGCTGCACATAGGTGTTGAATGCACTCGCTCATAACGCATAAGCAAAGGCAAGTCCTTTAGAAAAGACCTAAGGTACAACCATAGTACAGTACCAAGTACTCTAAATCGCGAACCACTGCTTCTAAACACACAATGTTCTCTCTAGACCAACCTCACATGCAAGGGGTGAATTGACCATTATTAATCGAGACATGAGAATTAGGACGCCTCAAACGTTGGTGCTCATAACGTGTGCACCAACAAGAACCGATGGACAGGGACACGCTGAAAATCAGGCAACGCGGGAAACAAATGATGCCCTCCTTTGCCAGAGCTGCCCGACTGCGACGGTGGAACCTCCAGAAGCCTGGGAAGTAGGCGTTTTTTTTTTTGCCTCATGGACAACCAATGTAGCGACAATGATATAAATAGGCGCGGCAGAAAAACCCGCTTTCTCTTCTTTTCCTGTGGCCAAGATATCCACCGTCACTATTCGCGTTGCTTCATTGAAACGGCTGTCATATGGTTGCTAAGGCTGATTGCGTGCAGAGCGATGAGTATAAAGATAGGAAAAATAAGAATGTGTTGCATACGTTTCTTATCGTATATGAAATGTTATGACCGAGAAGCGGTAGGTCTTCCCGACACAGCGTTTCGCGATCATTACATAGGGTCTGCAAACGATGGTGTTATTAGGTAGAAAAAGAAAGTAAGGTTCAACGGCAGCGCTCTAGAACACAAATATCATTCATTCGAACGCAAATTCAGTACTACAGAAACGCGAATTCTGCAGAATAGTTAATCGGCTATTTATTTTCACGGGTTAGTAAACTTGAACATAAGCTATGGCGGTGCCCCTCGTTGCGGGGCCCTAGTAGGCTCACAGAAGTGGATTGGAACCTTGTTTTACGAAGTTCAGAGCGTCACACAATACCACAACTACAGATTGTCCAAAGAGCAAGATTCGTGCGCCAGTGACGCTAGGCCTCCCCATCTCCCCGTTCGATTGGCCCGTGATGTTGCTCTAAAGAAGTAGCCCTTCTCAAAGCATAGAAGCCATCCACAGCTATAGTTAAGCAGGGTAGGTGTTGCTAATGATCACGAGGACATGGGCTACATTACCGCCTACAGTGGTCGTATTAAAAAAAAAAACATGGTTAATCCCTCTGTCATGAGAAGCGGTGTACCAGGAAAGTAAAACATCTTCTCACAGAAGTCGTTAATTACTTGCTCAACATTGATACAAGAGAGCTCATACAGTGTCTGTTGTTGTTTGACAGTTCAAATAGCGTTTAACGTAAACACATCCACGTTGACGCTTTGACGGATCTCCATCCCGACTAGCAACGTCCATGATTATTGATTGATTGATTATTAAGCATGTCTTTGTAGTCAAGGATGCCTGTGGTAGCTGTGATAGTTAACGGTGAGAGCATAACCAAAAAGCCGCGTGACAGCCAGGAAAAGCATCACTACTTTTACGCCAAACTTGTGTTAAGCCGCCAACTCGCAGCGTGTTAGAGTTAATGTGCGTCACTGCCCAATTGAAGCGAAGCGCAATGCGCGTTGTGTGTTCCATTGCGAGTGTAAGCGGGGAAGGCCGAGTTACATTAAGACAAAGCAGGCGCGTCGATCTATTTGTCGCAGAACCATTATTTGTATGAACGGAGGCTATGAGTAATGTTGGCGCTCTGAATGACGTCATCACCTGGCAGCTTGCTAAGGCTTTTACAAATTGCACTCCTGTTGGAAACACGCCCAATAGGACGGACACGTAGAAACGACGCATTGAAAAAACTAATCATAGATTTTATGGCTATGATGCATTATACACTTATAATGAAGGAATGATGACAACAAAAGGGAACAGCAAGCATCATCGCAGAGTACGGCACCACGAGATCGGCGCTCGAGCTCCTCCATCTTACTCGTCCTGTCGCTATCCCCAATCTCCCACCTGCTCGTTTGGTTCGCCCAATAAACTTCTTTACGTTTGGTGGATCGTGCTGGGTAACCACATCGCCTATAACCTGGGACTCCGATCCCGCACCCTGCCGTCGACCATGCAAGTTGACGCTGCCCAACAAACAATACCTCTCGCGGCCGCTACTTGCCCCGGCCCGGTTCATCAGTGAGACCCCCCGATCTTTGCCGGCACCGAAGACCAGGACGTCGAGGACTGGCTGTCGTCATGCGAGAAAGTCAGTGGACCCAACAGGTGGGATGACGCTGCTAAGTTAGGCACTGTCAATTTTTATCTCACCGACGTGGCCAAGCTGTGGTATACGAACCACGAAACCGAGTTCGCGAATCGGTCCGCCTTCAAGGAGGCAATATGTGCCGTTTTTGGTCGTCCTGCCTTACGGAAGCTACGCGCCGAACAACGTCTGCGCACACGGGCATAGGAGCCAGGTGAAACTTTCACATCATATATAGAAGATGTGATCGATCTCTGCCGGCGCGTCGATGCTTCGATGAGCGAGAGTGCGAAAATACAGCACATTATGAAGGGCGTCGACGATGACGTCCTGACTACGCTATGACTGACCATACAAACCTTCTCGCACAAATGAAAGACTTCGTGCGAGAGGAAGTGGCTCGGCAGCTTTCTCTGCTGCCATTCGCTCAACGCCAGGAGCTCTCGCACCAACAGCCACTGCGACACCCACCACCATTGGCTCCCATGCTCCGACATGTGGTCCAGGAGCAGATTTCCGAGGCTATGCCGGTGCCCTTGCAGCAGCCCCCCGTCACCGCGCCTCTTACTTACGCTGAGGCACTAAAGCGGCAGCAGTGACACCACCCCCAGCCGTTCCAGGGACTGCCGTATACCTCAGCCCCGACTCAGTCGTCCACCGCCTGGGTTCCTCCCATTGCCACCACAGCCTCGACTCACCCGTCTGCCGCAAGGACTGGTCCTTTCGTCGCCAATACTTGGAGAACGCGCGATAACCGGCCCATCTGTTTTGCGTGCGGCGGCCCTGGCCATATCGCCCGTTACTGCCGTCGTCGCGTGCCGGGATACACAGACGCCCGGACACAGAACAGCTTCATGGACCTTTCTCCATCCCGTCTAGAAAATTCTGACCCTCAGTCAAGCTCGTCTTCACGGGAATGTCCGCTTATTATGTCTGGTCGCTCATCTTCACCCCGTCGTCGCTCCCTGTCACCCATGCGTCGTCGGCCAGCTCCTGAACACGAGGGAATCTAACCGCCGCAGTTCAGGAGGCAAGAACTGCGCTGTCGAAATGCTCAAGTCCTCGGACATTGCCGTCGAATATTGTCGACGTTTTTGTAGAAGGTACTCGAGCATATGCTCTAGTGGATACTGGTGCTGCCGTTTCCATGATAAATGCTAAACTTTGCCGCAAGCTCCGAAAAGTGACGACGCCTCTTAATAT